AAGAGGGAGGAGGATGAGACGTAGAAGAAAGAGAAGGGGATGAACGGGGATATTATGATGCGTATGATGCTGCTGCTGGTGCTGAGATGATGATGATGATGATGAGGAGGAGGAGGAGGAGGAGGAGGAGGAGGAGGAGCAGGAGCAGGAGAAGAAGGAGAGGAAGGATGAGAAGAGGAACGAGGAGGAGGATGGGGAGGAGGGGGAGGAGAAGGAAATGGAGGAGGAGGAGGAGGAGGAGGAGGAGGAGGAGGAGGAGGAGGAGGGGAGGAACGAGGAGAAGGAAAATGAGAAAGAGAAGGCGGAGGACGAGGAGGAGGAGGAAAATGAGGAGGGAGGAGGGGGAGGAGACGGAGGAGGAGGAGGAGGAGGCGCACGATGAGGAGGACGAGGAAGAAGAGGACGAGGAGGACGAGGAGGATGAGGAGGATGAGGATGAGGAGGAGGATCTGGAGCAGGATGAGGAGAAAGATGACGAGGAGGAGAAGGAGGAGGAGGAGGAAGAATGAGAGGATGAGGAATATAATACTAAGGACGGGATGCTGATCATGACGATGACGATGGCGATGCTGATGATGATGCTGATGATGATGATGATGATGATGATGATGATGATGATCATGATGAGGATGATGATGATGATGATGATGATGATGCTGCTGATACTGCTGCTGATGCTGGTGATGATGCTGCTGATGCTGCTGATACTGATGCTGATGATGCTGATGATGATGCTGCCGCTGATGATGCTGATGATGATGAGGAATACGAGGAGAATATGACGTAGGAAAAGGAGAGGAACGAGGAGGACTGCGGAGGAGGAGAAGGAGGAGGAGGAGGAGAACGAAGAGAAGGGAGAGGAGAGGATGAAGAGGAAGATGAGGGATGAGGAGGAGGAGGGGGAGGAGGAGACGCAGAAGGAGGACGAAGACGATGAAGATGATGATGATGATGATGATGATGAGGAGGAGGAGGAGAAGGAGGAGGAGGAAGACGAGGAGGGGGAGGAGGAGGAAGTCAAGGAGGAGTGTGGGGAGTAGGACGAGTATGAGGAGACGGAGGGGGGGGAGGATGAAGAAGAGGAGGAGGATGAGACGGCGGAAGAGAAAGAACAATAGGGCCAGGAGCAGGATACGGAGGGCAAGGAAGAGGCCGAGGCGGGGCAGGAATCTGAGGAGGGGTCTGAGGAGGAGGACGAGGAGAACGAGAAGAGGATGTACGAGGATGAGGATGATGCGGATGATGGTGATTCTGATGATGCTGATGATGATGAGGAGGAGGAGGAGGGGGGAGAGAGGAAGCATGAGGATGATACTAACGATGAGGAAGAGGAGCACGAGAGGACCGACGAGAAGAGATATGAGACGGACTGGCGGATGAGGAAAAGGATGCGGAGGAGGAGGAGGAGGCGGACGAAGAGGAGGAGGGAGGAGGAGGAGGACGAGTAGGAGGAGGAGGAGGAGGAGGATGAAGAGAAGGAGGATGAGGAGGAGGAAGAGAAGGATACTGACGGGGATGATGAGGATGATGATGCTGCTGCTGATGATGACGATGATGAGGGGGACGATGCGGGGGAGGAGGAAGAGGACACGATGAAGGATGAGAGGACTGCGGAGGAGGAGGAGGAAGAGGAGAGGCACGCGAAGAAGGAAGAGGAGGAGGCGGAGGAAGGAGGAGGGGGCGCATGATGAGGAGGACGAGGAAGAGGAGGATGAGGATGAGGATGATGATGATGCTGATGCTGATGATGATGATGATGCTGATGATGATGATGATGATGATGATGAAGATGAGGAGGAGGAGGAGGAGGCGGCGGAGGAGGACGAGGAGGCGGAGGATGAGGAGGAGGAGGAAGAGGATGAGGGGAGGAGGAGGAGGAGGAGGCAGATGATGAGGAGGCGGAGGATTAGGAAGAGAAGGAAAAGCAGGAGTAGGAGGAGACGGGGGAAAGGAAGGAGGAGGAAGAGGAGGAATAAGAGGACAACGACGAAGGAAAGACGGAGGAAGAGGAGGAGAAGCCGGATAGGAACAAGGAAGAGGGGAAGGAGGAGGATGCTGAGGAATAATATGGACATGCTGATGATGTTGAGGATGCTGCTGATGATGGTGAGGGGAAGGAGGATGAGGATAAGGATGATGAGACGGAGGATGGAGATGAGGAGGAGGAGGAGGAGGAGAAAGAGGAAGAGGACGAGGAACAGGAGGAGGAGCAGGAGAAGAAGGTGGAGGCAGAGGAGGAGGATGAGGAGGAGATGGAGAATGACGATGATGAGGAAGAGGTGGGGGAGGACAGGAGGAGAAGGAGCACGAACGAGGAGGATGGGGAGGACCAGGAGGAGGCGAAGAGGAGGGGAGGAGGCGGTGGAGGAGGAGGATGAGGAGGAGGCAAAGGAGGAAGGAGGGGAGACCGAGGGGTGGAACAAGTAGGAGGAAGAGAAAGAGGAGGGGGAGGAGGAAGAGGAGGGGGAGGAGGAAAGAGAGGCGGAGGAGGAGAGGGCGGAAAGCGCGTAGTAGTAGTAGTAGTAGTAGTAGTAGTAGTAGTAGTAGTAGTAGTAGTAGTAGTAGCACGCGTAGAAATAATTGAAGTATTAGTACTCGTAATCGTCGTAGTAGTAGTAGTAGTAGTAGTAGTAGTAGTAGTAGTAGTAGTAGTAGTAGTAGTAGTAGTAGTAGTAGTAGTAGTCGTCGTAGTAGTAGTAGTAGTCGTCGTAGTCGTAGTAGTAGTAGTAGTAGTAGTAGTAGTAGTAGTAGTAGTAGTAGTAGTAGTAGTTAGTAGTAGTAGTAGTAGTAGTAGTAGTAGTAGTAGTAGTAGTAGTAGTAGTAGTAGTAGTAGTAGTAGTAGTAGTAGTAGTAGTAGTAGTAGTAGTAGTCGTACTGGTAGCCGCAGGAGAAGTGCGAGCCACTCGTAGGCCAGGGCCGCCGCCATCCGTGCCGCCGTCCGCGCCGCACCGCCCCGCGACGCCCGCGCCGCGGACGCCAGAGGCCGAGCCAGTGGCGTCGGCCGAGCGGCCCGCGCCGCCGCTGGCTCGCCCGGAGCCGCCGCCGCGCCCTGCGGCCGCGTCGCGGTGATCGGGGGCAGCGTTGAAGGGTTGGAGGTTTGACTACCCGCCTCCTCGCGTTGTGGAAAAATCACGGCCTGAGCTTTCTGGTCATTCTCCGCCTCCGAGGGGTCCCTCGCCAGGTCCCAGAACCGTCCATCCAGAAACGGCTCCGGACGAAGAGCCGGTGCCAGTTTCGCGACGCGGTGACCGGGGGCAGCGTTCGAGGGCCCGAGGCAACATCAAGGACCCAGGCCTCCAAGGTGTTAAAGCAAATGGAGTAATTCTACCCGTTTCCGGCCTTTGGGGGCGCCGCAGGATTTCAGGATTTTGCCGCCATATTTAATATCGAGCGCGCGATGCGAATGAGTTCTTTCCTGGCGCCCGTACTGTTTTGTATGCTCGTGGGGCGCACGCGTGTGTAGCACGCCGTCGATATGGCCACCGCCTGTGCCCTTCATTGGCTCGCCTTCGGGCGCGCGGGCTTGACCTTAGTCATCGCTGGGCCCTGGGGCCGTCAAAAACGATTCGGGATGAAAGGGTCAGGAGTTCTGGGGACCCCGTATTGATAAGCTCAAGACGTCGGATGCTTCGGGAGGGTCGTGGTTCGAGGTTTTCGGGGTTTTCGCCAGTTCTCGGCGGTTTTCGCCTGGTAGTCTGCCCCGCCCAGGAGCCTGCGGATTCGTCATCGGGGGCCTGTTGCCGATTGCTCGGCGATGTATCGCCGATTCGGGCTCGATGGTTCCCCCCCTGAGCTGGTCCCCCCCCTCTCACTCGAAGAACGGCAAAAACGCATAGACATACATTCTCGGAAGTTCGGCAGATTTTCTGATCGGCGCTGGCCCCCCCCTTCCCTGGCGCGCGGAGCGCAACAGGAACGGCGCAGGTTGCCGCCAAGGGGGTCCAGCGCCGATCCAAGAGATTTGTGCGAAGCTCCCATCTTCTTCTTCTTCTTCTTCTTCTTCTTCTTCTTCTTCTCCTTCTTCTTCTTTTTCTTCTTATTCTTATTTTTTTTCTCTGTTTCTTATGTTTGTTCTTCTTCTCCTGATTATTCCTTTGTTTTACATTATTATTCTTCTTCATCTTCCTCCTCTTCTTCTCCTTCTTGTTCTTCTCCTTCCTTGAAGTCTTCAGGGGGAAGGGGCCAAGTTCCCACTACTCCGTGTGCCTGCCGTGCGCCTGCGAGGCGCCTGTGTCGTTTCGGGCTCGGAGGCCGAGATGGACACGGAGGCCTCTGGGGGCCCGGCGCGGAGCGGCGGCGTCTGCTGCGGGCAGCTTCTACCCAGACCTCCTCGCGTCGTGAAAAAATCACGACGGGAGGTTTTTCGCTATTTTCGGCCTCCGGGGGCCCCCACCGGGCCTCGGAAGCGTCAGAAAACGATTCAGGATGAGAAACCCGGTCCCGGGGAAGGGGTCCAGACCGCTGGGGGTCGATGTTGTGAACGAATCACGACGTCGGGGGTCTGGGCAGTTGTGCCGTCCGAGGGCCCCCAGGGCAGCAGGGTCAATGGCCATCCCCCCTCCTCCTTACCCCGAGATCCGACGCTCCCGAAAGATCGGAGCGGCTGGATTTGGGCAGTTTTCGGCCTGCGGGGGCCCTCGCCGGGCCTCGGGAGCGTCAAAAAAACGACTCAGGACGAAAAACCGGTTCTGGGGAAGTGCTCTGGACCTCCGGGGCCCACGCACCGAAAAAATTGGAGCAGCCAGATGTTTGGGTGTCCTGCTTCTGTCCCTCATCCTCCTCCGTCTCCGCCCCTTCCCCGCCCCCCCCCCGCGCATACATCTGCTGCTCCTCGTAGCGCGGCTGCGTCAATCAGTCAGTGCTGCAGTGCTGCAGACGCTGTGGGAGCTGGGATCTTCCTTTCGCGGTGGGGCTCCTCCTGTTTCTCACCCACATTCTCTCTTTGTCCACCTCCGAATCTGTTGATGCTTTTTCTTCTTTGGCTAACGTTCTCCCCTCAGGCGAGACGTGGGCCTGGCGAGGCTGGCGCGGGAGCTGCCCCCGCGCTGGCTGTCGGCGAGGCGGGCCGAGCTCTGTCCTGACGGGGGTGGGGCTGGGGGGGGTAAGGAGGAGGAGGAGGAGGAGGAGGAGGATCGAGGAGCAGAAGGAGGAGGAGGAGGAGGAGGAGGAGGAGGAGGAGGAGGAGGAGGATCAGTGCAAACCCAAGATCCATCAACGATGTTGGAATATACCCTCCCGCCAAGCTCCCTCTCCGTATGCCCCATACAAGGGTTCATTTCCACTGAGAGAAGAGCCCCGTTGGGATACTACCGCGTGAAAATCCTGAAGTGCGCCAAAAACATTCTCAGTACTTCAACGCCACGAATCCACCTGACTGTCGTGTCTTAGAGATGCCGAAAACCATTCCTAGGACTCCAACGCCGCGAATCAGCATGACTGTTACGCCCTGACAGTCCTGAATCGTTCCCACATGTTATTTCCTGGTACGTTGACCATGACAGGCCGTGAATCTCTTGTAAGTTTTTGAAACGAATGTGCGCGGCGCTAAGGCGCGAGCCACATTTTGAAAAGGAGCCGCCCTCAATCCGCGAAGCTCTTACAATGTTGTAAAACGGATGTGCGCGGCGCTTCGGCAAGAGCCACATTTTGAAAACGAGCCACCCCCAATTCGTGAATCTCTTGCAATATTGAGTGACGAATATTTTGAAACCACTTGTCCTCAGTCCACGAAGCTCTGGCATTTTTCGAACGAACGTGCGCGGCGCTAGGGCGAGAACCACATTTTGAAAACGGCCCACCCTCAATCCATAAAGCTCTGGCAATGTTTTGAAACGACTGTGCGCGCCGCTAAGGCGAGATCCGCATTTTGGAAACGACCCGCCCTCCATCTGTGAAACTGTTGCCAATGAGTAGCTTGAGGATCATACTTTGCAAGAAAGTCTCAGGCGAAACGCCCGGCCCACCCTTCCGACTGGCCTCGGTGTGCGAGCGGGAGGAGTTATTCATGAGGTCAAGGAGGAGGAGGAGGAGGAGGAGGAGGAGGAGGAGGAGGAGGAGGAGGAGGAGGAGGAGGAGGAGGAGGAGGAGGAGGAGGAGGAGAGGAGAGGGAGGAGGAGGGAGGAGGAGGAGGAGGGAGGAGGGAGGAGGAGGAGGAGGAGGGAGGAGGAGAGGAGGAGGAGGAGGAGGAGGAGGAGGGAGGAGGAGGAGGAGGAGGAGGAGGAGGAGGGAGGAGGAGGGGAGGAGGAGGAGGAGGAGGAGGAGGAGGAGGAGGAGGAGAGGAGGGAGGAGGAGGAGGAGGAGGGAGGAGGAGGGGGAGGGAGGGAGAGGAGGAGGAGGAGGAGGAGGAGGAGGAGGAGGAGGAGGAGGAGGAGGAGGAGGAGCGGGGGGAGGGAGGGAGGGAGGGAGGGAGGGAGGGAGGGAGGGAGGGGAGGGAGGGAGAGTGAGAAGGAGGAGGAGGAGGAGGAGGGAGGAGGAGGAGAGGAGGAGGAGGAGCAGGAGCAGGAGGAGGAGGAGGAGGAGGAGGAGGAGGAGGAGGAGGAGGAGGAGGAGGAGGAAGAGGAGAGGAAAGACCCCTCGATGTCCGCCTCGTGGCTGCACCACTGGAGCGCACGCGGACCGCAACGGGTGCCGCGTCGAGGGGCCGGGCCGCTGCAGGCGGGAGAACTTGGTCACCCGCGGGGGCGCGAAGAGAATCGCGCTCAGCGCAGCGTGCCCTGGACTTAGTATCGTTCAACCGATGCCTATTCCCGTTCCCATCCTCATCTCGTCGAGCCCTACCGTCTCACCACCTCAGTTGGGGATACGCCCCTCGAAGCCCGAAGAGAGCAGCCTATATCCCCATCAGGGGGGTAAATCGGCGAGTGGGGCCTAGCCCACGCTGATGGGGATGGGGATCGGTTAAACGATGCTCATGGACCAGGTCGGGAGCGGCCAAGAGAGGGGTGATGACTAGGGGTGTGTGGATATCATGGCGGGGTCCATGATATCTCCCCAGATTTCATGGCGCCTCTTCTTATTTCGGTGCGTTCTCTGGTCCCCCCTGGTCCAGGGAGGCTGGCCTGTTTCAGGCGATCGCAAACATGGATCAAGGGGGCGTGGATTAGCGACGGGTCCCGTTTCCATGGGACATCGCGGATTTCCGCTGCCGAGCGAGGCGGCACCCCGACTGTTGGAGCCAGCTGAGGGTCTGAGGCGGCCTGGACTAAATCGGTGGTCTGAGAGAGGCTGCCCTGTGTGAGCCGTCTGGGGGCTTGAGGTAGGCTGCCCTTGTGAAACCGGCCGGTTGGGGCTGCGCTGAAGCGGGCCTTTTTCGTCGCCACGGCTGGGCGGGGCTCGAAAAGCTGGTGCCTTTGGACCCAGGAGGGGTCTGGGGATTGCTTCTGAGCGGACTTGGTGTCGCCCCCTTCTCCTGACCGATGTTCCCTGGGGTCCACCCACCGCAGATCCCCCGGCCGCCACCAGCAGCCCTTCTTCAGGAAGGCGGCGCGAGAGACGGCGCGAGGACGAATGGAAGCGGCCGGAGGCCCTGTCCGACGCTCTTGGCCTCCGGCGCATGCAAGATTTGCCGGACACCGCGAGGGGCGGACGTGTCCGTCTGGCGGAGCTGCCCGAGCCCTTGCGGCGGGCTCCCGCAGTGAATCGTGAGATCCTGGCGTCTCGATCTTCTCAAGCCAGGCGTTTGCTCCGCGTTTCGGGCCCCTGGGCCCTCACAGGTCGGCCCGGCTGGAAAGACGGTGCAGAAAGAGGGGTCCGGTCATGATTTGCCGCGATAAGGTATTTATTCGCACCGGCGGCTCTCAGGATAGCCCCGTGCACGGCGGCCGCTGAGGCTCTCCCTGGAGCTGCCTGCCGGACAGCAGGAGTTTCGCAAGGCCCGGACGACGATCACGACGATCACGACTTCGCCGATGGCTGCGATGGATGGCGGCTGCGGCGGCGATGATCACAACGACGGCGGCGACGGCAGAACCCGCCGCGGACGTGCGGACTGCAACGAAGGCCCGACATGTATTACCGTCGTCTTCGTCGGCGTCGTCGTCGTCGTCGGCGTCGTCGTCGTCGCCGATGTCGATGTCGTCGTCGGCGTTGATGTCGGCGTCGGCGTCGGCGTCGGCGTCGTCGTCGTCGTCCTCGTCGTCGTCGTCGTCGTCGTCGTCGTCGTCGTCGTCGTCGTCGTCAACGGCCTTCCACCGCCATGGAGGTGCGATTCTTGCTCACCGCAGGTGCAGGCGAAAGAGCACAGCCCGGCAGAGGCAGGGCGCCGCGTCTGGCCCCTCTCCTTGCAGCCCAGTGGCTCGAGCCAAAGTGGCCACGACGTGTCGTCGTCGTCGTCGTCTTCGTCGTCGTCGTCTTCGTCGTTGTCGTCGTCGTCGTCGACGACGACGACGTCGTCGTCGTCGTCACTGGTGTTCCTTGCACCACCCGCCTTGCCTTTGCAGCGGCCTGCCTCCTGGCCTCCGCCCGGGCGCCACCCCTGCTGGCTGCCCTGACTGGCTGCCCGGCTTGCTGGCTCGCTTCGCCCAGTTCTCCCCAGACATCGCGTCGTGACAAAAATCAGGACGGGAGGTTTTTGGCCATTTTCGGCCTCGGGGGGCCTTCGCTGGGCCTCGGGACCGTCAAAGAACGACTGACGATGAGAAACCGGTCCCGGGGAAAGGGTCGGGACTTCCAGGGATCCCGTCCTGAAAAAATCAGGACGTCGCATGTTTGTGTCGTCATGTCACGCCCTGCGTAAACAGAATCGAAACTCTAGAATGACAACAACCAGAGCATTGCCACAGGTCCGCGCGGATTCCCCGGGTCGGCGCTGGACCCCCTTCCTTGCACCCCTGGCCGTGCCTCCAACGCCGCCCCTGGTGAGGAGCAAAAGCTGCATAGCATAAGCATACAGTTTCGGAGCTCCGCGCGGATCTCTTGGATCGGCGGGGGACCGCCCGCCCTCTCTGGCGCTTTCGGCGCGCCAGGGGGGGCGCTGGAGGCGCCGCCAGAGGGGTCCAGCGCAGATCCAAGAAATCCGCGCAGAGCTCCGAACGTGGATGTTATGCAGTTTTTGGTTCCGCCTGGATGGGCGTCGAGCCTTACGATGTGCCAACCTATTTTAGGCCTGATACCAGGAATTTCGAGCACCAGGACAGTACCGAATTGACAGGGTTTCGCGTGTCGGGCCCTGGGAGGCGATACTCGTTCGACACCGTTTCAATACTTTCCTGCGTGCTCGAAATCATGTCGGGGATGTGGTCCTTAAGTACGATGGGAGCAACATAAGTCGAGCCAGGACAGCCAGGCCATCCTGGGCCCTAGGATGGTGTATGGACCCTCCTGGCCTCCTCCTGCTCCTCCTCGCCCTCCTCCTCTTCCTCCTCCTCCTCCTCCTCCTCGTCCCCCTCCTTTCCCTCCTCCTCCCCCTCCTCCTCCTCCTCCTCTTCCTTCTCCTCCTCCCCCTCCTCCTCCTCCTCCTCCTCCTCCTCCTCCTCCTTCTCCCCGTGGGGTGCCTCTGGGTGCATCGCCCGTCGCGGGTGCTCTACGGCCCTGTCCTCGCTCGGCTCCGCCGTCTGGCGCGTCCGCGCCGTCGGCCGCACCTGGGGCGCCGCGGTGCCTCGTACCAGAGGGGCAGGAGGAGGAGGGCGAGGCAGAGGAGGAGGGAGGAGGATGAGGAGGAGGAGAGGCAGGAGGAGGAGGAGGAGGAGGAGGAGGAGGAGGAGGAGGAGGAGGGGGGGGAGGAGGAGGGGGAGGAGGAGGAGGGGAGGAGGAGGAGGAGGAGGAGGAGGAGGAGGAGGAGGAGGAGGAGGAGGAGGAGGCAGGAGGAGGAGAAGGAGCAGGAGGAGGAGGACCAGTGTAAACCCAAGAGTCTGATCACGGAGGGGGAGGAGGAGCTACGGAGTTACGGATATCGCTCTATGTCGGCTACGACAGGGACCCCAAGCAGTAGCTAGCTTACACGGGTTTGCCCGCAGCGGCCCGCTCAGCTTTGCTATACTGTTTGGGCCATAAAACCTGATGAGTTCTGTTGAGGTGGTCTTGCCGACTACGCTTGGGGTCACACTCCTTGGATAACTTAGCT